TCCATCTCACATTTCTGAAACCTATGCTTCTTGAAAAACGAATCAATTTTCAGATTCCAAGCTCTAGGTGCTTGCTTCAGTCCATACAGAGCTTTATTTAACCTGTATACCATCCATTCCCGATTCTTTTTCACAAATCCAGGAGGTTGTGACACATAAACTTCTTCCTGTAATGGACTGTTCAGAAATGCAGACTTCACATCCAGATGCATTAAAGGCCAATTTCGGTTTGCAGCTAAAGCAATCACCAGTCTGATTGTTTCATGCATAGCTACAAGCGCAAACACCTCAAAGTAATCTAGCCCAGGTTTTTGAAGAAAACTTCTAGCTACTAGTCTAGCTTTGTGCTTGCCAATGGAACCATCTGGCTTAAGTTTCAACTTAAAAATCCATCTGACGCTGATGGCTTTTTTCTTATCTGGAAGTTTAGCCAATTTCCAAGTTTTGTTTCTTTCTATTGCCTCAAGTTCTTCTTTCATGGCATTAAGCCATTCTTTCTTCTTGAGAGCTTCTTCAATGCCCACTGGTTCAGAATCTACTAACATGGCACACTGAACGACTTCTCCTTCAGAGTCAACTTCATTATCCTGCAACATGTCAAAATCTACAAACCTTCTTGGTTTTTGTCTGATTATTTGTGGTCTTTGAGTTTGTTCTGAAGCTGCACCAGAACTACTACTTTCAAAATTACCACCTTCATAGTTTTCCCTTCCAGAACTATGATCACCACCAAATTCTGGATCATCATCAGCATCTGGATCAGAATCAGATCCATTTCCAAAATTTTCTTCTGACTCATCTTCAGAATCTTTAGGATTTTCAGAATCAGATTCATCTTCTGAACTTTCTAAAATATCTTCAGGGGCTAACTCTGGTGTTGGCACTACACTAGAATCTGATTGAGATTTGTTCCAATCCCATGTTTCAGACTCTTTCACCACAACGTCTCTGCTGACTTCAACTTTATTAGTTTCTAGACAATAAAGCTTATATGCACCTGTACTGTGGTACCCCACCAACAACATTACTTTGCTTCTATCATCCAGTTTTTGTCTTCTAGCTTCTGGAACGTGTTTGTAACAGACAGAGCCAAACACCTTCAGATGACTGACACTCTGCTTATCTCCAGTCCATTTCTCTAAAGGAACAGCTTCCTTCAGTTTCTTTGTTGGACACCTGTTCAGAATATATGTCGATGTGGCAACAGCTTCTCCCCATAGCACATGAGTTAGCCTTTTCTCTTTCAGCATGCTTCTAGTCATATCAAGCAAAGTTCTGTTTTTTCTTCCAGCAAGATCGTTGTGCTGAGGAGTATATGGAGCAGTAACCTCATGTTCTATTCCACTCTCCTCATAGAACTTCTGAAACACTGTAGAGTTATACTCACCTCCACCATCTGTTCTCAGAATTTTTAACTTCTGACCACTCTGCTTCTCAGCCTTCACTTTGAATTTCTAGAACTCAGTAAACACTTCATGCTTGAACTTGATGAGTGTTACCCATTCATTCTTGTGAACTCATCCACAAAAGACATAAAATAATTATTTCCTCTAAGTGAAGGTACTAGAAATGGTCCACACACATCAGAATGTACTACTCCCAGAGCATGCTTCGCTCTGGGGGCTACTTCTGATGTAAATGGAAATCTAGGTTGCTTGCCTTTCATGCATATCTCACATGACTTCTCAGGCTTCACAATCTTCGAAATACCATGTACAAGCTTCTTAGAACATAGATGCCCTAAGCTTCTATAGTTCAAATGCCCAACCTCTTATGCCACAACTTACTGTTACCTTCAGTGACTTCTGCACTAAGACACGTTGCTTCAGTTGTTTCTACATTTACCTTGAATGTTCTGTTACCTCCTTCTTCAGACTTCATAATCAACTTCTGATTGGAATCATACAACATCAGAAGATTGTTTTTCATAACAACTGAGAAACCTTTCTCAATCAGCTGTCCTACGCTCATAAGATTGCTTCTAATACCAGAAACATACCAAACGTATTTGATCAGAATGTCTTTCCCATTCTTCACTCTAACTCTGACATCTCCCATACCTTCTGCATTAAGATACTTATCGTCAGCATATCTGATCTTTGTTCTCCTTCTGGAGTCAAAGTCTATCAGCCATTGTTTGTTTCCAGTTAAATGATTTGAACAGCCAGTGTCCATATACCACCAATCTTCTGAGCATTTTCCATCATAGTCAGAAGCCATTAGTAGTACAGGTTCATCATCAGATTTTCTCTTGGACATATATGCTTTTTCTGATTTCCTTTCCTTGTTTGACCTACAATCTCTGGCAAAATGGCCAAATTGTTTACAAGAGTAACATTGAATCTTCCTTTTGTCATACCTCTCCTTTCCTTTATGATATTTCTTATCATCAGAAGTTGAGGCTTTTGACTTCTGGAATCTATCACCACGTTTATTCTGCTTCTGGTCTTTCTTGACAAAAGAAGCCTTCAGAGCTTGCTCAGCTTCCCTCTCAGAAGTTCTCTCAGACAGGCGTAACTCCTGTGCTTCTAAGCTGCTTTGCAATTCTTCTATTCTCATAGTTTCCAGATCTTTAGAATGTTCAATAGAAACAACAATGTAATCAAACTGAGGAGTAAGCGACCTCAAAATCTTCTTTATGATTACCTATTCAGACAGAGTTTCTCCATACGCCTTCATCTCGTTAGTGATTAGAATCACTCTGGAGATATATTCAGAAACTTTCTCACTGCTCTTCATATTCAGGTTCTCATATTGCTTTCATAGGGATTGAAGCTTCACCTTCTTTACGGTTGCGTCACCACTGTAACATCTCACCAGTAAATCCCACGCCCCTTTTGACGTTGTAGAGTCATTAATCTTCTCGAACACACTTTCATCCACACACTGATGAATATAGAACAGAGCTTTTTGGTCCCTCTTCCTCATCATCCTCTCAGTAGTTCTCTGTTCTTCAGTTGCATCTGCTGCAACTGGTACATAACCATCTGTGACCAGATCCAGAACATCTTGCGCACCAAACAGCACACGCATTTGTATCATCCATTTGTTCCAGTTTTTGCCATTAAAAACTGGAATTTTTGTGTTCAAACTACTGTCTCCACTCATTTTAAACCTTGCACAAATTTTTCAGATCTTCAAATACACTGTTTCCCAACCCACATAATCAGATTCTGTTCAGATTTTGTTCAAGATTTCAACAGAAAATCAGTGAACCAAAATCAAACACACAGCTCACAAACACTCGTGTTTCCCAGAAAAATAGAACCAAGTGCTCTGATACCAATTTGTTGGTGCAATGTAATGAAATGGGAGAAGAAGAATGAGCAATGAATGATAACAAAGAGGACTACTATTGTATATCAAATAGAGGAATGAATGAGTTACAATATTGATAGCCTAGGTAGCATATTTATACTAAAATCGAAAATGCCAAAAGGCCCTAATAAAGAATAAGCATTGAGAATTGTAGACATTAACTAAATTACATTTCCAATACAATCAAAGTACAAATGATCTATAGTTTCCATGTGATCACATAAGTAACATTTACGATCCACATTAATGTCAAATTTTGCTAACCTCTTCTTTGTGGGTAACTTCTTCCACAACACCATCCATAAAGTAAAAGTTGTTCTAGGCCTCGCACAATTGTTAAGAAGGGATTTCTTCCAATTTACCTGCTCAAACTCCCACACAGTTCCTTATACATTGCACTTGTTTTGTATTTATCTTTTACAACAGCCTTAGCCCAATAGCTAGTATTACACACATAATCTCTACTGCTAATAATCTTTTTCAAGATCCAAGAGCCATTTAGGAGATGCCTGCCATTTAGGGGTAGAAATAGGCCAGACCGGTAACAGGGGCCTACGGTCAAGTTTACATAGGCTCAGGCTAGGTCTAGGCTTTTTTTTATAAGCCTACTTAGTTAAAAAGGTTAGGCTTCAGGCCATGAAAAAAAACATTTTAAGCCTAACAGACCGACCTATATAAATAAGTATGAATAATTTTTTTATTATCATTATGTTATGTTTTGTATTTTGAATCAAAATACATAAATAAAATTTGATTATCTTGGAGAGCTTATGAAAATAAGATGAAAACACCTTATAAACAATGTTATAAGTTGTTTTCACAAGTTCTCTTAAACAAATAGTCTCACAAAACTTATGCTAATTGATAAATTAAAATAAATCAATTCAAACAAACTTTTAGTCCCATTAGTTTTTTAGTTTGTTAGTCTATTTAAATATTATTTAAATTGTTTATTTACATATGTCTAAAATAATAGGCTTTATGTAGGCTAACAGGCTAACCAGACTTTAATAAAGACCAGATTTAAGTCTAAAAATAAGTCTATGACATATTACAGGCCAGACTTAGACTTCAATTTTTTTGACAAGGCAGGCTTAGGCTTAGCAAAGCCTAACTCGGCCCAACCTATTTTCATTCCTATTGTCATTGCATAGCCTTTGAAATAATATGTATCCAACCACTTTATCCATAGTTTGTTCAATTTAGTGTGAATGTTTCGTAACAACTTATCTATGGTGACTTTGTTCGAGACTTATAATGATGTAATGCTTAAACCACAAGCAGTCTTCGGGACACACACTTTCTCCCACTCAATAAATCTCTTCCTACTAATCTCTTCCTACTAATCAATATGGATAATATAATATATTATCCATATTGATAGTCCACTAAATATAAAAAATATATTACTGTAAATTTTTAGAAAGAACTTAGTTTAAGCATGATTTTATAGATAATTATAATAAAAGTAAAATATATTTAATAATCTATCGAGTAATAATAATATAAATTCTAAATAGAAAAGAATCCTATATTAACATGCTTATGTCAACTGAATCCCTCTATCTGAAACAACACATGACTCCACAACCGTTACCACTACAAAGCAGTTTTTTTTTTTCTCACAAGAACAACTCACAACTCCAAATAATCAAATCCAAAACCAAAAAAAAATAAATAAAATGTTCCGTATAAGCAACACAGTGGTTGGTTTCCTTAACATTCTAACCTTATTGCTTTCACTCGCCGGAATGGGTGGTTCCGCCTACATCCACTTTCACAAAACCGACTGTCTCAAAGTATTAATGTATCCTCTTCTCTTTGGCACCATCTTCATTTTCGTCGTGTCCATTCTCGGAATAACGGGCTCGTTGTTCCGCGTCAATGAGGCTCTCTATGCTTACCTTCTTGCATCGTTCTTTGTTATATTAGGGTTCATGTTGTTCACTGTTTTTGCATTGTTTGTCACTAATAAAGTGAAGGTTGAGGATAAAGGAATTCAAGAGTATAGGGTTGAGGATTTTTCCCTTTGGTTGCAGCAATATGTTATTAACGACAAAAATTGGAAAGACATTAAGAGTTGTTTGGTGGGTGTAGGTTTTTGTCAATGGAACATCTCCATCGGACAGGTTAGTTATAGTCATTCTAATTTTTACGGTTTTCTTTTTCCTACTATTTTTTTCTTTATTATTTGGTTGTATTTGTTTCGCGTTTTTTTTTAGTAGTTTCTGCAATTGCGCGCAAATGATATCAGATTTATATACCATTAATAGGTAGGATGTTGTAAGCCACCTGTGCAATGTGGCTTCACTAAGAAAAATGAAACATTCTGGGAAGTACCAAAAACAGGTCCAGCAGTGAACGATACAGATTGTAGAAGTTGGAAGAATAGGGAGAAAATGTTGTGTTATGATTGCAATTCATGCAAAGGAGAAATGTTGGGTAACATAAGGAAACAGTGGAGATATCTAACTATGTTCAATGTTTGTGTGCTTATAATCCTCACTACTATATATGTTTTGGGATGCTATGCTATCAGGAACAATCCAATACATCAACACCACCATTCTTATGGAATCACCCATCATGATATTGGATATCATTGATCTTTACAATTCATTAAGCTTGTCTTAAATGTTGTACGGTTTTTAAAGTTTAGGATTTGGTATCAATCTTGTGTATTTTGTATGGAAGGGACTTGCAACTGCAATTACATTTATTTTTATCATCATTGTCTTTTTATTTTTATTTATTTATTTATTTTTATTAGATTGTTAGATTCTACAACGAGATCATGTCAAATGGAAATTGTTTTACTTAATAGATACTCTAGCTTATTAATCAGGCACTCCAGGGGAGGAAGGAAACAAATTATGTCTACTATAATTACTAACATTTTAATTTTTTTTTATAGGTAGTTTTTTGTTTTTGGGATTGCACTTTTGTAATATAAGCCTTTTTATTTTTATAAATTGTATAAACTAAATTATATAACAGAAATAACCTTTTTATTTTTATAAATTGTATAAACTAAATGATATAACAGAAATAAAAAATAACACAGGGTAAAATTAATACTTTGCTCAAATGATAATATTAATACTTTTTAGAAAATAATTTACAGTCAAATTTCAAACAAACAATAAAATTAAAATATATTAGAATACAATATTGGAGTCGTAGAAAGTTTATATTAGAAACTCTCCTAAATAGAAGAATTTAAAAGCATTTTTTTATAAATAATGTTTGTTGTAATTTCTTTTCCGTCGAAATGCATAGTTAGAGGTGTCGAATTAGCTAGGATGAGTTATAGAAGTTAGTTATATTCGACAGAGTCAAATACAATTAAGATGTGTGTCGAAATTTATTTTAGGCCTGAGTTTTAGTATCCTATATAAAGAGCATTGTATGTTGTAATTTGACAGCACACTCATAACAGAAATAACAGTTTTTAATATGGTTTTCTCTCTTCTCTCTCTCTTCTTCTTCTCCTTCATCTTTCGTGAAAACCCTTTTGTTTCAACAAATAAGTATCACAGAGCCCAGGTTGCGATTTAGAGAGAATCTAATGGCAAACAGAACAACAACATCAACGTAATTTTCAGCAAATTTATCGGTTTTCAAAGGGGAAAACTACCAACAATGGGTTGCGCGGATGAAGGTTATCTTTAGATTTCAAGATGTTGTTGAAATCTTGAATGATGGAGTATCGAGATTGAAGGAAATGTGAATGATGCTCAGAAAGTTGCGCAGAAGGATCAAAGGAAGAAAGATGGTAAACCTTTGTTCTTGATTCACCAGTGTGTGGATCCTAACGTATTTGAAAAGATAAGTGAAGAGGAAACAACAAAAGGAGCTTGGGACAAGTTAAAGAACTTGTATGGTAGAGATGGGAAATTGAAAAGAGTGAAGTTGCATACGTTGAGGAAACAATTTGAGATGATTCAGATGAAAGAAGGAGAATCAATCTTGGCATACTTCTTAAGAATTGTGTTGTTAACAAACCAGATGAAGGTGTGTGGTGAATCATTCACAGATTTGTAAAAGATTGAGAAAATGTTGAGATCTCTGACTGCAGATTTTAATTACATTGTAGTGTCCATAGAAGAGTCCAAGACTCTTTCTGAGATGAAGTTAGAAGAACTTCAAGCTTCTCTAGAGGCTCGTGAGATGAGGTTGAAGCAGAGTAGCTCAGAAACAGAGAAGGTGGCTGAACAGACACTGTAAGCAAGATTCATCAAGAAATCTGGAAAAGAGAAGTCGAAGTAGTAAAAAATATTACTAGTGATGAGAAGTCAAGCAAGAATATTGATTTGACCAAGAAAGGAATGGTCAACAAGTATTCTGGGAAGAAAGTTGACTTGAAGGATGTGCAGTGTTACAATTATCAAGGTTTTGGTCACTATGCTCGAGAATATCGAATAAAGAAATAAGCAAGGGCGAAAGATAGTGAAGCTCAATATGTACGAGTTGGATATAGTGATTCTAATAATTTGTTGTTGATGGTCAATACTCAGTCGAACACTGAGCAAACTAACATGTGGTACTTGGATTAAAGATGCAACAACTACGTGACTGGTAATAAAAACTGGTTCACCAAGCTAGATAAATCAGTAAAAAAGATGATAGTTTGTAGATGGCAGGCACATCACATCAGGTGAAAAAAGAAATATTTCTATTGCCAGAAAGGATGGTCGAAAAGCCACCATCACTGATGTGTTGTGCGTACCTTCGATGACAAGTAACTTGATAAATGTAGGTCAATTACTTGCAAAAAGACTTCAACATAAAGCTAGGGAATAATAAAATTAAGGTATATCATGCTGATATGAGGTTGATAATGAATGCATTATTGGCAGAAAACAAAACCTTCAAGGTCGAAATTAACATAGTTGATCACAAGTGTCTTTCTTCAACTGCAGAAGAAGACAAGAATTGGCTATGGCACCACAAGTATGGACATCTAAACTTCATAGTTTTAGGTATGCTCTACCAGAAAAGGATGGTGTTTGGTTTACCTAAGGCGAAGGAACCAAAGCAAGTGTGTGATGAATGTTTCAAAGTAAAGTAGGCTAGGAAAGCATTCAAACATGATTTCCCCATAAGATCAAAACAAAAGCTAGAGCTAGTTCGTTCTGATGTGTGTGAACCTTTTGAATTAAGTTTAAATGGAGGTAACTTCTATTTCCTAAATTTCATTAATGAATTCACCAGACATATGTGGATTTACCTTATTGAAAGTAAGATTGCAGTATCCACACAGTTGAAGAAGTTCAAATTGCATGTTAAGAAACAAAGTGGATGCAAGTTGAAGAAACTAAGAACTGATGGTGGTGGTGAATACACTTCTTATGAATTTGTTAGCTTTTGTAATAAGGATGCTATAGAGCATGAGGTAATTGCACCCTATACACCTCGGTATAATGTCATAGTTGAGAGAAATAATCAAAGTATACTGAACATGATGAGAAGTATGTTGAAAGCTAAAGATATTCCTAAGAGATTTTGGGATGAAGCAACTTCGATAGCAGAAATGTTAGTCATCTTAGAGTTTTTGGATTAATGTGTTTCATACATATACCTAAACAATTGAGAAAGAAACTAGATGATTGAAGTCAAGTTATGGTGCTCATATGTTATCATTCAACTGGTGCATACAAATTGTATTCACCAAACAATAATAAACTAGTGACCAATAGATATGTTATAGTGGATGAAAATAAAGGGTGGGACTGGAGTCAAGGGTCAGTTCAACAAGAATCAGATACAATCACAACTGTGTTTGAAGAAGATCAACAAACTGAAGCCAAAACCATTCGAAGTGAAGAAACACCTGAGCAGAATGTAAGAAGATCGATTAGATCAAGAATTGAGTCGACAAGGCTAGCTAGATATGAGAGAATTTCCAGATCAAGCAGTCAATGTAGATGATGACTTGATTAAAGAAGTTATGGTGATGACTGAAGCAGAACCAATTAATTTGTATCAAGCCATGAGTGATTAGAATTGGTATGAAGCCATGAAATAATAACTCCGACAATTGAGAAGAACAATACATGGGAGCTTATTGAAAGATCTAGCAAGAAGCCAATCGATGTAAAATGGATTTACAAGTTGAAACGAAGGCCAAATGGTGATATGCCAAGTATAAGGCACGACTAGTGGCGAGAGTTTTTTTTTTTTGCAAAAAAACCTAATATTAACTTCGACAAATTCTATGCACTTGTCTCAAGGTTGGATACAATCATAATTGTTGTATCGACAATAACATATAGATGGTGGAAGATACATCAATTAGATGTAAAGTCAGCATTTCTATAATGGACCTATGGAAGAAGAGATCTAATGTTACTCAAACCACTATAATTCGACATCAATGGAAGGATTCAAAAGTGTACAAATTAAGGAAGGCTATATATGGTTTGAAGCAATCCCCTAGAGCTAGGAATAAGAGAATAGATTGCTTCTTGATCGAAGCAGGTTTCATAAAGTGTGTCTCTGAACAAGGAGTGTATAATGACGGTGAATGTGTCAATTGAATAATTTTATGCATGTATGTAGATGATTTGTTGATCATTGGAGCATACAAAAATGAGATAATTAAAGTCGAGTCAAAACTGATGCATGAATTTGAAATGTCCAACCTAGAGAATCTGTCATATTTCTTAAGGATGGAATTCAAAGGCTCAGGTGAAGGAGTATTTTTTCACCAAAAGAAGTATGCTCAATATATCTTGAAGAGAGTCAAGATGAGCATATAATGCAGCTCCAATGCCATGGAAACTACAGAAAAGTTAAAAAAGGATACAAATTATGAATTTGTAATCTCTACATTGTACAAACAAATCATTGGAATCCTTGAGGTATCTTTACAACACTAGATCTGACATTTGTTAAAGTGTTGTATATTGAGTTGATTCATGGAGAAACCCCGATAATTTCATCTCATTGCAGTGAAGAGGGTGATAAGATGCATAAAGGGTACGATTGATCATGGTGTGTTGATGTCAAGTAAGTTGAAGACCAACACAGATGTAGAAGTCCATGGATACACTGATTCAGGTTTTCAGTGGAGATCAAGACAAAAAGAAGAGTACTGCGGGCTACATTTTCATGATCGAAGGCGCTTCAATCAGTTGGAGCTCAAGGAAGCAAAGCATTATGGCTTTGTCATCATGTGAAGATAAATATGTAGTTGTATCATATGTTGCATGCCAAGCAGCATGGATCGAGACGCTTCATCAAGAACTTAAGATAATGGAACCTAAGAAGATGAAGTTGTTCGTCGACAACAAGTCAGATATCGACCTGGTGAATCATCCAGGGTGTCATGGTCAAAGTAAACATATAGAGAGGAGGTGTCATTTTCTGAGGGATCAAGTTGACAAAGAGAAGCTTGAACTTGAGCATTGCAAGACAGAAGTTCAACTAGCTGATATAATCACCAAAATCTGAAGAAAGTCAGTCCGACGAGTTGAGAGAAACACCAACATGAGAAGTCTCGAGAACATGAATTTGGTGGTGTGTTAGTTGTAATTCTTGTTTTGTCGAAATGCATAATTGGAGGTGTCAAACTATCTAGTAAAAGCTATAGAAGTCAGTTGTA